GACAAAATAATAATAATTTGTAAGTTATCAAGGGTTCATGAGGGAGGGGGGCAGGAAGGGAAAGGAAAAATGAGGAGCTGATACCAAGGGTTCAAGTAGAAAGAAAATGTTTTGAAAATGATGATGGCAAAAAATGTACAAATGTGCTTGACACAATGTATGTATGTATGTATTAAGATAAGAGCTGTAGGAGCCCCCAATAAAATGATTTTTTTAAAGTAAAGTAAAATAAAACCCTTTCTGTCCTAGCCACCTCCAGTTTTCTGACAGTTTTGGACTGTTCTCTAGGTTTTAAGCTTGGCTGCCTCTCCAGCTGCCTCTACAACTGTGCATGTCCATTTCTTTAGACAAGTAGACTACACAATACTTAAGATACTTGTGAATTCTCGGCACCTCCTAGAAGTTTCCCCATACACGCTGATAGGGGTTGACTAATTGCTAATGTTCCTATTAAATAAAATAGGCAAAAAGACCCACCTGGAGAGAACTAGCCTACTGCCAACTTAGGTAAGTAGCACAGAATATGTAATTAGCAACTGTTGGTTAAGTGTATGGATGATCATGTTTAACATTTCATGCCTAGCACTTACGAGTGGGAAAATTATTAAGTGCAAGTAACCATGTGCTTATTTTGCTTATTGGGTAAATCAACACGGGGTACCTACCACAAAAGGTCCTCTAAATATGCAACCACAGAAGGCGGGACAAATATTTCCCTCCCCCAATCATAATTTAGACACCAGCCTAATGCATGGAGGAGGCTCTGGTGACATTGTGACACTGCAGTGGTTTCCATCAAAAGGGTTTTATTTCTTCTTTCATTGGGCTTTAACCATAGGAATGTTCTCTTGTGAATACATGTTCTTGTCATAAAGAAGAACAAAATGTTTGTAGGTGGACCTCCTGGAATGAGTATGCAGAGCTGAGAGCCTGCAGAGCACGGTGACCAATGGGCTCTTGTGCTCGGCCCGTCTCCCCTCTCATTTCATTCCTGTAGTCTCACAGGGAAGCAACTGGGGAGCAGCCTTGAGGGGCGGAGCACGGTCTGAAGGGAACTGGTGGGACCCTCTTCTGGGAAAGCCCTATCATCCCCCACACGACTGGTTCCAGGTGAATATGTTCCTATTCAAGACATGGACTGGCCTTGTTAGGTCTCCGATATAGACCCACCTTATTGGCTCTCCCATATCAGAGGACCTCAAACGCCTCTTCACCAACCTTCCTTGTAAATGCCTCCTCTGGGAGTAGCCAAGTTGAGAGGGTCAGGGAGAAGAGAAAGCAAATGCATCTCAGTCCTTCTCCATCACTACATCCCTCTACTCCTCTGAAGGCTCCTGGAGCAGGAATTCTCTGGAGGCACTGAAGGAATGGTGTCAATGTCTCATAGATGCAAAAGCACTGGGCATCCTTCTCAACTGGCCGCTTTGGGCTGGAGAGAGAAGTCTGAGAGCCACAGAGGCAAATTGACAGGGAGGACCTGCCCATAGAACAACTATTTTTATTACTGTTGGCAATATTATTAAATAGCACCTGTCTCTTTGATCATGCATTTTGGGGAACAATGTTGGATGATCTATTTGGCAACTCATCCTTCCACCGGAATGGAAGCTCCAGGTGACTCAGGGATGGGTCTTATGCTCTTGGTTTTGGTACCAGGCTCTAACGCAAGACACCCTAAGTCAGTGCTTAGTGTGTATCGAAAACAGAATGACCGATGAATGAATCAAACAAACAAACAAAACCCCAGACCCTGGTCTGCCCACCTTCTCCGGTGTGGCTTCTCCCCACGTCATCCAACTGAATCTTCTGCTGAGCTTCTTCCAGCTGCTTCTCCACTGCCCCCAAATTCTTCTGCACTTGCTCCCACTTGCTCTGGAAGAAAAGGCTCCCACAGCTGTACAGTGGATTTCAACCCACATCGACCCAGGAGGACAGGGAGGAGCTGCTCCATAGACCCAGTAGGACAGGGCGGAGCTGCTCCATAGACCCAGTAGGACAGGGCGGAGCTGCTCCATAGACCCAGTAGGACAGGGCGGAGCTGCTCCATAGGGTTCGGAGGCTGTCCCTCTTTAGAGGAGCAGACTACCTCATGGCTCTACCTCCTAGTGACTGGTGGGTGTGAACCATTGACTTTACAGTTAGCAGCCCTCCGTGTAACCCGCTGAGCCATGGGGACTCCTTCAAGGTATGCATAGAAGGTCCATAGAGTTGGCAGGCACTGCATGACGCTAAGCCACGGCCTCTCCTAGACCAAGACTTGTGGCTGCCGGCTGCCACAGCGCCTGTCTCTGGCTCCTGGTGACCTCGTGAGTAGGCAACAGAAACACAGCCTCGTCCTGGGCAATCCACATGAAGCTGGCTGCAGACTAGACCACTGCTGTCCACATGAGCTGGTTTGGAGAGACCTAGCTCACCACATCTTTTTCTCTAGTCTGTCTTAGTCTGGACACTCCGCGGAAGTCGGTTCTGTGGCGCAGCTACATACCACCACGGACAGATGGGTG